GGCCTTTCAAGTGAAATTAGACTACAGAGAGACTGAGGGCTACATTTACGATTTCGTGACGCACATAAAGAGGTGTTGATATCTAATTGGAATTTTTAAAGTAATCATGTCTTTGAAGTAATTACATCTTTGATGTAATCAACAAACAGGAGATTCATTATTCAGTGCTGCTGCAGTTGCTGTTTGGCAGTGGGTTTCTTCATGTGTATGGCTACTTACATGATTAATGTAGGTACAGTGATGCACAGTAAACTGTGACCCTTCAAATGTAGCTTGTATTGTCCGTGAAGAGGATTTAAATGAGGCTATCTCACTCAAATTGCACAGCACTGAAACATCACGTTTGCAGCAATAACTTAAATGTGTTGCATCTTTAAGCACTAAATCAAAAATAACAGGATGATACACTGGCCAGTTAATGCTGGTCATTGAAAACAGAATTCACATCACGATTTAAGACGAGATGCGGTGAGAAAACATGACTACAGTACCATACAACACATCCTCCTGTTTCGTAGCATCAGTGCATGTCGATTCTTTAGAAAAGCTCACATCACATTCGCTTAGTGGCACATCCTTGCTGCCGTACCTTGACTGCTTTTTGTATCAAATGCTACAGGACATGAGCAGTCCAAAACAATCCAGATTTGTGGATTGTTAACACTGGACACAGAGAAAGAGAGCTCCACCAATTTCCAGGTGGGCATACCTGGCCAGTTGTTGCAGAAAGTGGGTGACAATCATATTGTTCTTTTTAGAACCTTAGAAATTGCTGGAATTATATTTTCACCACACTTCTGAAAGAGCTCATATTTTCTGATAAAGAAATAAATACAGCAAGGTTCAGTCGGTCACAGTTTAAAACCCTGTATTTACTATTGATTTGTACTATGAATCTATTCCTTGAGGATTTATGTCAGTCTGCAAGGGTGGGTAACTCTACTCCTGTAAATTAAAGGGTGAGTGAACTTTTTCCTCTATTGCATCTATGTGTGTTTCTATGTGTGTGTGCGTGCACCTGAACATGTGTGTAACTCTTCTGTCTTTTTATACCAAGCTGCGTGTTTCCGTTTCAAAGATGCTGTAAGTGTTATACAATCTTCTGCGAGTGTGTGTGTCCCACACAAGCATGTGCACACTTGTCTGTCTCAGTTAAGGTAATTATGTGTAAGTTGTGTGAGTGTATGTGTGTGGTGGGGTGAGGATGGGGGGATTTTTTTTAAATACAGAGGGGTTGATAATTATGGGTTAAATGAGTGCTCTCAGTCAGCCTCCCTGAGTGTGTGTAAAAAAAGGAAGGCGCAGCTAAAGCCACTTCAAGGCCGGCTAATTACCCCGAGGAAGAGAGGAAACATAAATGGACTATTTTGCGGCTATAATGTTACAGCAAAATGGCTACATCAACCTCAGCACGTGAAACGGAGCCACAGCTACTTTTGAAGGCTTGCAGCGGCCCTGCACAGATGTGTGTGTGTGTCTGTGTTTGCATCCATATGTGCAGAATCTGTCGAGAAGCAGAATATGTGTGCGCATGTGTCTGTACATACGCTGTAGGTGAGTGTGATTTGTGTGCAATAATTCACACTCTTTTTTTCCGTTTCATTGTCTTTCTGAGTCAGTGCAAAGTGTGTGAAGATTTGTTTAGATATTTGTTGACATTTGTTGGCTGATTCTTTACATTCAAGGTTCAGACTGATTTCTGTTGTTTAAACCTCTTCACACATGCATTCTGAGGGCACTCAATGCTGATGCTGCTTACCCACTTTTGGGATTTTCCCTGCAAAATGTCATTGCTACTGCTGAAATTGTAGAATGTTTTTCTGTTCCCACGACCAAGCAATGTAACTCCGTATGTAAAGCAGAAATGAGTGAAAAAACCTGATTTTGGTTGGCGACAAAAGACATATGAAAGCTGAAATGCTCTGAAGGCAGCAGAGTCATTTAGAGACAGACACAAAGGTAACTGTCGCACTGACGTGTGTCTGTGGGGTCGGGGGTGAGTTTGATTTGTTGGTCATTTTAGAAATGAAGTGATGAGCTCGAGAAAAGTCAGCCATGTTTTCACAGTAGCTGTCACATGGTTACACTCTTGAAAAATTGTTAAAATTAACACGAAACAGCATTTTAAAGGAATGCTAAACACAATTACAGATGTAAGGCAGCTTTTTATGGCTGCACATTCACATTAAAAACCGGATGTTCTGTGCATCATTTCCAACTATTTTCTCTGTACACCCACCCTGACATATTCCACTATCAAATTTAGAATATAAGTCTGATTAAACAATGGATGCAGCATAACTGCATTGGTACCATTGGACCAAATTTACATTTTTGTTAAAGTTCCAATACATCCGACTTCGTCCTGAATAATATAGAAATGCAGGATGGCTTGCGTCAGCCAAAGTCCAGTGCTCAAGCGAATTACAAGTTAATTTTAATATATATTTCTGTTTGTACCATGCTCAGATGCTTTTTTTTTAAGCCTTGCAATACAAATTCTGCAATCTTTCTTTTTTCATACAGCCATCTCCCAAGTAGTAAATAACGGAATCTTTCCCATTGCTAACTTCTATACCACATGACATCATCTTAAACCCTACTTAGCATATTGTTTAATGAAGTGTTACCATGACAACGTGTCTGTTGTTCTCATCCTGTAAAGCGACCAACCGGGCCTTTCTGTCAGAATCTTTCCTTAACCCACAAGACTCATCCTCCATCTCTGAGTGCTTCTCTCCGGTTATTAGAAATGCAGGCCACCTTATCTAAACCTCACCACCACCTCCACCTCCCTGCTCCCACACTACCTCCTCCCCCTGCGCCTCCTCCCCCACCCTCAAACCTCCCACCCTTCGGCTCTCCGGTACAGAAGCTGTGCGTTTTGTTTTCATGTGTCTCAACATTAAAAGCGGTTCAGCAGTTTGATCTTAGCAGCCGTGGAGCATACACATGAGGGTCCATTTGTGTGTGTGTGTGTGTGTGTGTGTGTGTGCTTGGCCAGTGAGAGAGAGTTGAAGATGTTGATGGATAGGGAAGGAGGTGTTGAAAGTGTCTGTGAGTGTGTGTTAATGTGGAGTGTAGCGTGTGGAAGCTCTGACTTTAAGTGATAAGGTATTCACTTTGTAACTCAGCAGGAGGCCCAGCAAGTAGCACCAGATCTGCCCCCTCTGTAGTGCTGATGTAACACACTTCACACTCAGACACTCATGCAAATGGTCCTATACAGACAAACACACACACACGCGCACACATAAACACACACAGGCTCGTCCATCTCAGTGTACAAAATAAAATAACCTAAAACTTTTCTCAGAAATATTCATATACATAAAAATCAGCATCTCTGCCAAGCTTTCAAAGGCTTAATACGGCTTGGACGCACACGCATACACACACTCTCTCTCACACACACACACACACACACACACAAATATATCCATCTATGCATATCCACCCACCCACTCACACTCGTTCAGAAAGACGCATATTTATACTTGCCTCCCACAGAAACAATTACAGTGCCCAGTCCACACACACACCCACACCCACCTAGACACACACAGCCTGGTTCAAACATTGCAGTGTAACTCTGTCCAAGGCTGCCTGGTTAGCCGCCTCCAACGTTGCAAACCGCTGTGACATATCGTATGTCAGCCAGCATGCTGTGAGAATTAGCAATAACTGGATTTCACGTAAGTTATTGAAAGCCATTTGTAAACAGAAACATGAAAGCAAACAAGCTTGCACGCAGCCTCACTTGATCATCAAAGGCTTATCGATCAAATGGGCCTCGTCCTCCTCCTCCTCCCTGCTCCACTGAAAACCAATGGGAGCAAAGTACAGCCCATCTGTTTGTTCCAAACCATGTATATAGCTTTAATTCTTGTGCGCGTGTGTGTGTGTATGTGTTCAGCTGGATTTTTGTATCAGCGAGCAAATGCAAATGTCCCCACCAGGGTAGTTAAACGCAGAAAATACTCTGCTTAGAATGGCATTAGCATCTTTGTGTGTTTGTGTTAGTCTTGCATCTTGAAGAGAAGAGATGGACTTTTTAAATAATTTAATGGCTGTGTCTGGTTGAAAGCAACATCATCTTTGAGCCAATGAAAGAAAGGGAAACACTGTGATGTCCTTTGATCACGTTCAGCAGTCTTTGGCTGATGAATGACTTGTCATGGATCTTAAAATACAGTTGACAAACATCATTAGTAATTACAATAATACAAATTGAATATTAAATCGGCATCTTTCCTCACTCCATCTTAGCCTTTCTTACCCTCAGATGTGCATAAACTGCAGGTTATGAACTTTCTTTTTTTTTTTAAATGCAAAAATGTGAAATTATCTGTTATCTTAATGGTATCCGCCATGAGAATCGTGTAACTATCGGTCGTATCAGCTGAAATCAAATCTATATATAGTGCATCCCTGATCATATATCTTGTATCCTTCCATCTTCACAAATGGACACAATTTTTGAATCAGCCCTGCATCCTGGATTATCTCAACCTGGGTCTTAGTATCTATAATTTAAATATTAATATTTCATTACTATTTCTGCCCCTTACTAACATTTCACTCAACACTTAAATTGCTAAAACAGAAATGGGTCTCTCTGAAGGAGTTGAAATTGTTGCTGAAGCTTCATTAAATCATGAAGAGGTGCTTCCTGGTTCAAATTTGACTCCCCGTTTTTATGGTAGCTGCTGCGCTTACAGGTTCACACTTCGATACAGTATTGTATTGAGTGGCTGTGAAAAAAAGAAAGGTACAGAGAAAGCTGCTACATTTCAAATGCGTCAGTGTTAAAATAACTTTCTCATAATATGGTTGACATGTTTGAAACCAGCCTGATTGCTTGTGTTTGTAAACTCCCCCTCGAAGAGAGGCCCATGCAACCCCACAGCTCGAGCATCCAGCCGGTGTGAAAAATGTAAGAAATCATATTAAATCATTTTTATCTAAATTCATTTTGCATTGTTATGTCTCATCAACAGTCCAACAAAGTGTCGGTGGTCCAGCAGTCTCACGGGATGCACCCGCTGACGTCCCTCCTGCCCTACAGCAACGAGCATTTCAGCCCGAGTCCTCCACACCTGCCCACAGACATGAGCCAGAAGACAGGTGAGAACACACACACACACACACACACAAAAGATTCACAGCCGCTTATACTGACTTGCACACATTTGTGGGGTCTCTCTCACAGACTCTCATATATATATGTATATATCTGCGTCTCATATATATATATACACACACACACACACGGGTAAACAAAGACATACTCCCGACATCTCCCGTCATCCATTTGTGCTGTCACCAAGTCATTCATCACATTAACACTAATGCAGCACACACAAACACACACACACACAAATATTGTCTACTGCTACCGCCTCAGGGACCACGATTGAAAAAAATAAAAAATTGCATTGTTACAAAGCCACAAATCTAAAAATAATCTTTCACATCATTTGGGGAGTACATGTTTATCTTTATTTCTGCAGTGTGGGGATTTATGTCATCAGGGCACACAGACTAAAGTGTATAAATACAACCCTCAGTTGCCTCAGACCGGACACCAAATATTTACCTCCAATAAAATTTAAACAAGCACTGATAGTATTCATATTGGTTCATGCTGCCAGTCATTCCAAACTGGTTTGATGTTTTCTAAGAATGACAAATGCTTTCTGAAACACACACACACATACATAATTTCTCACAGGCTATGACAAAGTCAGCCTGACAATAAGCAGGTCATTTGACCTATCCAAGAAGAAGATCTAAAACATGAGAATCTGTCTAGCCAGGCATCTTGCCATAGTGGTTTGGACCAATCAGTGTCCTATGACAGCTACAGCTTCAGCTACGGACGTGGTTTAACGCTAAATGTATGTTATAATGTGCTCAAAAACAATGGCGGCTGCTAAAGAGGTTAGCATAGATGCTGCTAGCATAAGTTATATCAGACCTTGAGAGTATTTCTTCATTGAAAGAAGAGCATGGCAAAGAAAGAATGGCACTGAAGGCTGTTCTAGATGTTATCGCTCTTCTCCTGACTGTCTTAGGTAAGAGTTTGACTACTTTGGTTGGTTGATCTGACTGGTTGAAGTTAGCCATTGATAGAGGGTAAGAGGGTTCATCTAATCACCAGCCAACTATTTTTTTAAAGTACCTGCCCTTTTCCCAACAGTTTCTAAGGGTGCATCAGGTTAGAGACTTAGATTGACCCCAAATTAGAATCGTTTCTCACTTGGTCCATGCTACACCCTTCGACCAAGTTTCATGATAATTTCAGTAGACCTGCAAACAAACATAACTTCTTTGACCAGGGTAATAAGCAGCGCCATGTATGTACCAGAAGGACAAATTCTTTGTACAGTTTGTACATCGAAAGGAAACAAACAAAAATAACATCTCTCTTATCCTTTAATGGATCCTTTTGCCTTGAGTTACAGGATCTTTTCAAGCTTCCTGTTGTGGTATTGGACAAAACCTGAAGCCTGTATAGTATAATAGTTCAAAGCCACTGATAGAGGGCTACTTGCAAGGTCTTACTCATGATAAAACATTGTTGATGGTCAATGTGCAGCCATTAGTATCTGGATAAACCTTCTATTCCTTACCACTGTGATTTTACCTGGAGATACCAACTGCTTAATGCCTCCTACTTCTCTGCAACTTTTATGGAAAATATTCGAGGACTGAGGAATGCTTGGTGAACTGCAGGCTGGTCTCTCATTGGTGTCAAAGGAAACACTTCAGCCCGGAACTGAAAATGCACCCACATGTCAGGGGTATATGAATAGTTTAAAAGATGGTGGTGGCACGTCCACACTGCCTATGCAGCTCTGAGCTGCTGGGAGGGCTGAGAACCGGTTGTTAAGAGTTCCAAAAAGGGCATGAAATGACCATAAAATTACTTCAAACACATAATGTTCCACATTGGTTGCACTGCGGGTCCACTTACAATGCACCGGCTGCTGTTCAGCTATCTGATGGAGCACCCTGTTGTCTATAAGTGCTGCTCTTAGCTCCCTGTGTGAGCACAAAAGATAAATACAAATGGTGGTATATTTAAGTCATTTTAGCCAGAAGTTAAACAATGAGAATGTCGTCGAGAGTGTCATATCCACACATGTGACATTATATTTGACCTATTGAATTGTTTTAAACATGCTCTCACTATTAAACTATATATGATTCTTTGAGTGGAATCTAGGACTGTACCAAAACACACCAGTAGTGTTTTACACACATCAAAACAGCTGTGCCTATTGTTTTCACACACACACACACACACACACACACACACACAGACAAGCCATAGACCCTTGCACTAGGTTGAACCAGTGTGTAAATTCTCTCTTAAGTTGGGGTGTGAAGTGGACACTACAGGCTTAGTAACTACTAGTTAGTTTGTAACTAAATCAGCTCTTAAAATGGATTGCACCCCAATTACTTAGTTTAGACTTAAAATCACAACTAAGGCAAGTGGCCAATCAACAATCAAAGATAGAGTTCCAACATTATGGTCACCATCCACATTAGCTTTCCGGCTGGCATGAGTGAAATATCATATCAATATATGTTGTTTCTACTCGATAACAGTGTTGCTAAATGGCTGCATTTAATTAAAAAAAATTCTGTGTTTACCATCAGTCAGTTTTAGTAATGCATAAATCACATCTTTGTAAAAAATTACATTACAACTAGGCTCACAGCTGCGAGCACAGGCTGCTGGTGAAGGCAGGGCGGTATAGGAAGTGTCCAGGTAACTCAGTTTTTTAGTGTAAATAATCTGTTTATACAGATGCAGCTGTCTAGAATTGCTGGCTGCCATGACAGGCCCTTGCTTATCTGAATGTATTGAATGGATATATCTGGGGTGGCAATTCCAATTGGCTGGTACTGTCAAAGGGCCATAACACTATTGTGTTTGCAAGTTTTTTTAACAATCTTCAAAATGTGGTTGTCTTTTCAACGTGGACAACCTGTAGTATATCTAAGTACAGGAAAGGAGGAAGTTGACTGAGGTTGTGCCTGGATAACAAGTGCCAAGTTGGCCGAAGTAACATCAAAAAAGATTATAACTGTATGGGACTCAATTTTTATAGAAGAAATTTGTGCATTTTGATCTGCTGTGATGGTATTATATTTAAATGAAACTGAAAGTGTGATATAATGAGATTTTATTACAGGCTGCCAGGCAACTAACCTGTAAGATTAAAAAGGGTGTGTGGACATTCAATATCCTCTGTATGGTACAAATGGGAAATAATGCTGTAGACAGTCACACAAACAGATAAACAGATAAAATAGGACAGTCAGAAGTAGGCTCAGAGCAGATGGTATGCAGCAGGTCCAGTAGGTGCTGCTTCTTACTTTATTATTCGCACCAGCTGGAGGGCTGAGCAGCAAACTAGATCAGAAATGGCGTTGGCGTACAGTCTCTTGGTCATTGGGATCTTAACATTAGGTGTTTGGCTGTTTTTTGGCAGGAAATGTGGACATCAATTAGTTATGTCCATACATGACCTTCAGTTAATAAAAGGCTGCCAAGAACACAAACTTTTCTTAGATTAAATGTCGTATTTTTTTTGTCAAAGCAGTTCTACAGTATTGATATTTTCATTATGTTCTGCACATTTCAAGCACCCCCTGCGTATCCTTTGCTTTGTCACAGTTAATTATTTGGAAGTTCAGGAGGTAATTTGAGCTGACAGCTAAGTGAGAGCCATATTAATTCATTTTGGCAGATGAGCACCTGACTGCTTACCGAAAACAGACAGACAGATGCTTTTTCTCAAAGACAAATGAAAACAAAGTGCAAAAGCTCTTCTTGAATTTAATCAGATGCAAAGAGTGGGTGAGATTCCACTGATACACGAGGGTGTGATTATTTACTTCTATGTGAAATCATAAGTATGCTTTTCTCTGAAATGCTAAAATCATTCCACAAACTTGATATTTTTTCCTCACTCAAGAACTGTGTAAAAGTAATACTGAAATGAATGGAAATGGGTATAATTTTCATTTCTTTTAAAATTATTTTGCATACTGTTAAAAGGGCAGTTCAACACTGTAAAAATTAGTTGTGCCCATTAGTCATTTTAACTTCTAATTCATTGTCAGTATGACTACAAATTATTGAAATAGTTGTGATAACTCAGAATTTTGTGTTTATGTCTTCTCAACTAGCGAAAAGTTTTCAAACTAAGAAACATGATTCAATTGAAATTAAGAATGTCAGTCAAAAGGATGTACGGACAATCGCTGCTGTCATTGGCTGACGTAGGCACGTTCAAAAAAAACGTTTCTGCTGCCCGCCATTTTGTCTCTCTTTCACCACATCCAAATCTGTTCGGTAGTTTGGATTACCCTGCTGGAGTCTGAGGTAACTAAGATAGCTAGCTTTAAGTGATAGCTAAAAGTTTGGCACATAATTATTATATAATTATAATTTATATTATAATAAATGTTTAACCTTTTATTTGCATTAATCACCAGAAGCAACAGATGGCATTAATGTTGTTTTGAACAAAATTCTAGCTCAGCAAAACCTATATCAAAAGATATTAGAAAATAAAAGAGAGAGAAAACAATATTTTTCAAAGCCTTTTCTTGATATCTCTAATATCCCTTAAACTTCGTGCATGAGCTGTCTGCAGCTGAGGCCGAGCTGATTCTGTCCCGGCAGGTGAGCCGCTGCACAGAGACACTCTCCTTTCTCCTCAGGAACAAACTGCTGCCTGCTCCACAGTTTGTCATCAAGGTGAG